AACGCGCAATCAAAAGTATAATACAAGGGGGTATGGCGCAATTTTTAAAATACAGGGAGATAACGCGCAGATTTCGTATAATACAGGGGGGTTTGGCGCAATTTACCCATTAACAATATGTCGACTATTTGTGACGGAGCTGTATGGGGTCCAGGGGGCCCGTGGGCCCCCCTGGTTTTTTTAAATAATATATATAATATATATATATATATATATAAAGATTTTATTTTTGTAAATCAATATATATATGTAGAGAAAAATAAGTATAAAAATGTAAAAAATATTTGCAATATATAGATAATTAAAACTTCTTTATGTTAGTTTAGTTTAAATTATTAATATTACTTATTTATTGAATGTACTAACAATCTTTATATTTTACATTTATATATAAGTTTTTTAAAATATTTATAATGATTTACTCTTTCGATCTCTTGATTGTAAATCGACCTAGTAATTTATAAAACTCAGTATTTTTAGTTGGTTTTTTACATTTTTTAATGTTGATTTTTTACTTTTTTTTTTTGGTGTAATCACATATTATTAAATCTATTTATTTTCTGCTTAGAAAATGTTCATTTGATGAGCTCTCATCAACAAATATGTTATGCAATATGATGCAAAGTTTCAATTATAACCAAATTTTCAACCAAAGAACTTATTTTTTCATAACTATAGAAGTTGAACTTAAATAATAAATTAATGAAATCTTTTTTTTTTCTTCTATTTATATTTTATTTTTAAAATTTGAGGGTGATATGGATTTTAAGTTTTCAAAAACTTGACGGTACACATATCGATATTTATATTTGTAATAATCTTTTATATGAAATGAGCGATTCGACTTAAACTACAAGCTTGTTATAACATTTAAAAATCGGGCCCCCTGAATGAAATTTCTAGATCCGTCACTGATTCTCTATGTGATTTTTGGCATTCAACATTATAAATATCTAATATGAACAGTCCAAAACTAAACAATCTAAATTGTCCCTATACGCAATATGAACAATTTGACCTAAATAAACAACTAAACGTGCATTTTCAGTGATTGACTCTTCACATTTCAGACTTTCACTTGGCAGAAAAACAAACATTGATTAATTTGAGGGCTTTGGTTTAGGTTAAAAAACTCATGTAATTTTCTAAATATTAGTTATTTGATAATCTTGTTTTACAATGTTAAATTTCTACTTTAAACAAACATTGTTGTTATTATTTTTGTCTTGGTCTTGAACTGTTGTGTCCCATCTGGAATGATACAGGCCCATCTGGGATGGTGTCTCGTCCTGAGCAAGTTCATAAAAGCGGGACAGGCACCTTGACTCGGATTCTCCCGGACCGAGTTCGAATTCGAGTGCGAATCCAACGCTGACTCGAGCGCTCGCGAGCTGCAAGATTGTTAACACCCTAAATCAATTGAAGGAAATTAAATATCAACTTACAAATATTTTCGTTATTTTTTTTTATAGAAAGAGATATTGGATTTGATTTCAACACGTTAATGTAACTATTGTCTTGTTAGGTCTATTCGTCCATTTAAAACTTCTGGTTAAGTTTATAAATAAGTCGAGTTCGAGCTTCAGATACTCGAGCTCAGACTTGAACCCTTATCGAACTGAGTCGATCTCAACTCGTTAAAAAAATACACAACGTCATTAAACCAACGAGCCTGAAGCGTGATCGATCTCAACTTATTTATCAAAGATAAGTCGGACCGAATCGAGCTCACGAGCGCGCAAGTTGATATATCAATGCATGTATTGTGCAATTAGTGAAAAAAGTGACACCGCCTTTTATGCCTTTAATTACTTCCTCCTTTCAATCAAACAAACCTCAAAACATAATAACTTGCACATTAGTTTGAACAAGATATTTTTTCCAACACATGAAGTGCATGTCTCATGCAAGGCCTCTTCTTTGGAGCCAACGAGGCACAACTAAAACCAAGCTTAAACCAAGCAAGCACGGTCTCCTCCCGGCGTGCCACGTCGCCCCTTATCGCCACATCAGCCATCCTCAACACCCTATCGGGCTCCTCGGCCATCGGGCCGCCCGTGGCCCATAATTGGCTCAGCTCCGGGCCCGATAAAACCTTCCCGGTCAGCAGCTCGAGCAACAAGATCCCAAAAGAGTAGACATCCCACTTGGCACTCGGCCTGGGATTGTTGAGCGACTCGGGTGCCCGGTAGAGTGAGGTGGGGCCAACTTTACTGACTTGGTGGGCCGGGCCGTGGACGAGCCAGTCCAGCCCGAAATCGCTAATCACGGGCTCCATATCTGGGGTCAGGAGAATGTTGCTCGGTTTGATGTTGCCGTGCACTTTTTTCTTGTCGTGGATGTAAGTTAGCCCACGGGCCACGCCTCTAGCTATCTTGAGCCGGGTTTCGAACGGCAAATGATACGGGGATGACCCGATTTTTCCTGATAAATGAGCCAACAAAAAAAAAAAATGACAAGAAAAATGTATTACCAAAAGAATGTGAATCATGGTGATTAAAAACCTTAAAAATCCAAAAAAAAAAAAGAGAAAACAGAGGAAAGATAAATGATTCATACATTTGGAGCTATTGATTATATTAATCATTAATTTTACCAAACTATCTGAACTACAAGGAAAGGTAGCAGCACATGCCTTTGGCTTTTCCTTTGTTTTGTGTTTGGTGTATTAAAAGATTTTCAGAGTTATTCACCTCACATGGAGACACATATGGGAAGAACATAGTGCAAGTGGTCACAACTCACAATCTGTCTTCAATCTTTATACTTTATAGTAAGACTCACAATTTACCTAAAAAAACATGAAGATGCTACAGTCCCGTTACGAAACC